ATGAAAGTTGAAATGAACAATTACATATAATTTAAGAGTGAAGAGATTGTTTAAATTAGTAACATCCTGTTTTATTTCCCCTCAGAATAAAGCTTCAAGGCTTAGGTAAGATTGTTAGATACTGAATTTTAAACTCATGTTGTCATTAATTCAGAGCCATGATAATTCATGATATTAGTGAATACAAAGTTCTGTCTTTTGCTCCAACATGACATTAAGAAAAGACAGTATTTGTGCATAATCAACATTTTCAAACTAGAGGCCAGTTGGGGAGGGGGAGATACGTGGGAGTTTAATGACAACATGAGTTTAAAATTCAGTATCTAACAATTTGTGCAAGTTTCAGGTCTGTGAATTTTCTAAATAAAATAGAGCTCTGTTATCCAAGCTAAACAAAAGCTAAACAACTTAATGCTTGTTTTACTTTTACTATGCCAACAATGTATTCCTCCAACATTTCTCAATACTACACAGGAATTTTATTTTAGGACAGAAAAAAATTAAGTATAACTAAGTGTAATATTCTGGATCCTAGCTAAACCAAAGTACTTTAATATTTAGGTTAAAATGCTGGCTATAGCTAATATCCCACATTTCAATTCAGAGTTATCACTTTCTATGAACGCACAGACACAAAAATGAGCTTAACTTCTTTTTGGCTTCTTTGTACTGCTTGCTTACTCCTTTAAAAATTATTACTTACAGCTTTTGAAAAATCCAGGCACCCTACTCCACGCTCAAAAGTTCCAAGTCCAATAATCTGCAGTGTGGATAGACTAACTGAATCCCACACTCTGACATGGGGTTGCAGAGGCTGCAAGGGGAAAAACACAAGATAGGACTCACTGGTATATAGGTGGATGCCAATGAATACCACTACAACACAAAACTGTTTACTGTCTTTAAAAAGTAATAGAGATGGATAAATACCTAATAAAAAATAGCTACTACATTTAGACATGTCCTCAAAGAATCTTGAGCAGGTATTGTCTTCTCATACCATAAAAATAACGATATAACAACAGTAATAATAGTTGTAGCAGCAAATGATCTGAATATTTCTCAAGTGCTATATACTATTCTAAGTATATCACATGTATTAATCAGTTTAATCTTCATAATTCTATGAGCTATTTACTATTACAATCACCATTTCATAAATGAGGAAATTGAGATATGAAGATTTAAATAACTTGTCCAAAGTTACACAAGTATTAAAAGGTGGAGTTAGGATTCAGACCCAGGAAAATTTGCTCTGGAAACCCTGCTTTTAGCATTACCTTTATTCCTGGGAAAAGAATACTTTTTAAAATCAGTGCTCAATAAACTGCTAAGCAAACAGTTCTTAAAACAGAATCTGGAACTGGAAGGGGTCTTATAAGTCTTCAAATATAATCCCTCCAAGTCCTTTTCATGAAAGAAACAAGCCAGAGAATGCCATGAGTACAGTCATATATTTCTAATTAGTCATCATTAATATTCACTGTTGATCCTTATAAGTAAGGGATTTGTTATTTAAGCCTATTTAGTAATACTAAATAGCAACTAAAAATTTTAAAGTGTTATCAGTGCTACTCATATATAAAATCAATTTAGGGAAACTGCAGTACCTATAGCAAACACTGATAACGTATTCTATGCTAAAATATATATATATAATGCCCAGCCACCATGGCTCAGTGGTTGAGCCTTAATCTATGAACACAGGAGGTCGTGGTTTGATTCCTGGCCAGGGCACATGCCTAGGATGTGGGTTTGGTCTCTGGTAGGGGGTGTGCAGGAGGCAGCCAATTAATGATTCTCTCTCATCATTTATGTTTCTCTCTCTTCCCTCTGAAATCAATAAAAATATATTTAAGTTAACAATCTCATCAGTATTCCCATTTTTAAAAATAAGTAGTTTCCTTGAGCACACTTGTTTGTGTGTTTTTTTTAAATGTATGTTTTTATTGATTTAGGAGAGGAAGAGAGAGAGAGAGAGAGCTTCAATGATTAGAAAATCATTGATTGGCTGCCTCCTGAACCTCCCACACTGGGAATCGAGCCCATAACCCGGGCATATGTCCTGACCAGCAATCGAACCATGACCTCTTGGTTCATACATAAGTCAATGCTCAACCACTGAGCCACACCGGCTGGGCGAGAACACTTGGTTTTTAGAAAAAAATATTTAAGTAGTATAATTCTCTTTTGGTTTTTAGAATGTTTTTACATTATAATATTTTTCCTTGCTTATACTAGAAATCATAGTTAAATTTTAGAAGAATAAATTGAGATATAAAAGTTATCATCAATTTCATTCTAATAGTAATGTCACTAGGCACAGAAGGCATAAAACTGTGACACTCACCCTTCCATCTTTATCCACTCCAGCTATCTGTCCAGTTGCAATCCTAATTTTGTCAGGATGTACAGCAAGGCTAAAAAGCAGTATTAACAGCAATTTTAAATACAGGAATCGTAAGAAACAGCAGAAATATGCCTTAGTATCAACATTTTTCAAACAGTTTTTTAATCATTAAAAAATCTCTCAGTGACCTATTTCTTTTTCTTTAACAAATCAAATAAACATCAAGTATAAAAAGATTTCTAAGTTTTCAGTTGTACTTCTTGACAAATTAACAAAACACTAAATCTAAAGAAAATATTTATTCACAACTGTGCCTTAATAAATTAAAGTTTTCTTTTTTCCTTCTACCTACCCACCCTTCTTTCCCCTCTAGTAATCACCATGCTGTTGTGCTGCCTGTGACTATGAGTTTTGTTGTTTGCTTAATTTCTTCACTAAACTGTTTTCATATGTCCAAGTTCCTTTCTAGTTCTGCACCTATATACATATATATATATTTCACATGGTTTTATTACAGTGAAGATGCATAATGCATTGTAATTTTAATCTAGTATTAAAACATGAGCATTAAAGGGTTTCAAGATGGTGGCGGAATAGGTGGATCTTTCTTGCACCAAACTGGAAATAAAGCTAAACTGGGGAACATTCACCCTGAATTACCAATTAAAGAACAGTTGAAGAGGAGTCTTTTAAACAAGGAAGGGCAGAAACCACCTTGAGACTGAGAGGGAGGAAGGAAGAGAGAGAGAGAGAAACATTGATGTGAGAGAGAAATATCAGTTGATTGCCTCCTGTACGCGCCCTGAGTGAAGAGCAAACCCGCAACCTAGTACCTGTTCAACAGCTCGCAGGATATAGGTGGGATTTAGCCTCATAGTCAGCCAGCCTGAGGGGAGATCCCACCCACAAATGGGACAATAACAATCAAGATCTAATTACAAAAGGAGAACCAAAATAACCCATACAAATCAATACATGTGATACATCACATAAACAAAATGAAAGATAAGAATCACTGATCATATCAACAGATTCAAAAAAGCATTTGATAAAATCCAGGACCCCTTTATGATAAAAACTCTCAGTAGGTGGGAATACAGGGATCACACCTCAACATAATAACTAAAAACAATCCAATTTACAATTGCAACAACAACAAAAAAGGTACCTAGGAATAAACTTAACCAATGAGGTAAAAGACTTGTTTGTACTCGGAAAACTAAAGGACACTAAAGAAAGAAATAGAGGAAAATGCAACAAGTAGAAGCATATACTATGTTCATGGATTGGAAAAATTAACATCATTAAAATGTTCATATTACTCAAAGCAATCTATATAGATTCAACGTAATTCCTATTAATATACCAATGACATATTTCACAAATCTAGAACAAATATTCCAAAAATTTATTTGGAACCATAAAAGCCCCAAATAGCCTCAGCAATCTTGAGTAGCAAGAACAAAGTTGGAGGGTCACAATACCAGATATCAAACTATACTACAAAGCCACCGTAATCTAAATAGCCCGGTACTGGCACAAGAACAGGCATATAGATAAACTAAACAGAACAGAGAGCCCACAAATCAACCCACGCCTTTATGGTTAATTAATATTTGACAAAGGAGGAGCCATGTATAAAAACTCTACAGCCAATATAATGCTCAATGGGCAAAAACTAAAAGCATTTCTCTCAAGATCAAAAACAAGACAAGGATGTCCACTTTCACTACTCTTATTAACATGCAAAAAAAGTGCAACTAGACCATGAACTTACACCATACACAAGAAAAAATAAAAATGGATAAAAGATGTAAGTTGAGAAACCATAAAATTCCTGAAGAAAACACAGGCAATAACATTTCAGACATCTCTCAGAGCATTATTTTTGTTGATATGTTTCTGAGGGAAATATAGGAAAAAATAAATAAATGGGACTACATCAAACTAAAAAGCTTCTGCACAGGAAAATAAACCCTCAACAAAACAAAAAGGGAACCCACAATATGGGAGAAGATATTCACCAATGATTCATCTCATAAGGGGTTAATTTCAATATATATAAAAGAACCAATACAGATCAACACCAAGAAGACAGACAACACAATTAAAAATGGGCAAAGGACCTGAATAGACACTTCACCAAAGAGTACATATAGAGGGCCAATAGACATCTGAAAAAATGCTCAAGGTCACTAACCATCAGAGAAATGCAAATTAAAACTACAATGAGGTATCACCTAACATCTGTCAGAATGGCTACTATCATGAAATCAGCAAATGACAGGAGCTGGAAGAAATGTGGAAAAAAGGGAACCCTAGTGCCCTGCTGGTGGGAATGCAGGCTGGTGCAGCCACTGTGGAAAACAGTATGGAGTTTCCTCAAAAAACTAACAATGGGACTGCTTTTTAAAATATATATTTTTTTATCGATTTTTAGAGAGGAAGGGCATGAACCTGGGGGTTGCAGTTTGATCCCTGGCCCAGTCAGGGTTCATTCAGGAGGCAACCAATCGATAGTTCTCTCTCACATTGATGTTTATCTCTCTTGCCCCTTCTCTCCCTTCTTTCCACTCTCTAAAAGGCAATGCCCGTAACATCCTTAAATTCTGAGGTGTCCACAATAAATCATTTCCAATAAAACCAAGATTTTTACCCCCCCCCCAAATAAAAATGAGAGCATGAAATTAAAAAATGAACAATGTTAAATGATACCAACCATTTTACACAGTCTGTATGACCCAGGTAGTGCCGTTGAGTTCTCTCCTCATAATTAAATAGTACTACTACTGATGCTATGAAATAAACTATTTCCCCGGTAGGAAGAAGGTAAACATTAGCTCGACAGTCCTTTCCTCGATAACCATATCTTAAAAGAAAGAGTCAAGGTTTTAAACAAGCACAATACTCAAGGTGTTAAATTAACAATTTTTTCAAGGATACTTAAAGGTATCAGAAAGGTATAATGTAAGAGGACTGGCCTGGAATTTGAAAACTCATGTTTGCCAGTGTACTTGAATCTTTATTTCCCCCATTTAACAGACAAATAAATATAGATTGAGTTTCTGATGTGTCAGGAACAGAGCTAAACATACAAACCAATGTGAGGCCTATGTCCCTGGAGCTTAGGCTCTGGCAAAAATGACAAAAACAAACACCAATTATATCATTAGAAATTATGGGGGGAAAATAACAGCATGGTAGAAGAATAAAAGGACCTAAATGGAGAGAAAAAGAGAGATCAAAAGAAGGGCTATCTGAGAAAGTGACATTTATGCTTGACCTAAATGATAAAGCAGAGATTGCCAGGCACAGTTTGGTAGGCAGAGTATATGTTAAACAGTTGTACAGAATTATAGGATTGGAGAGATTTCCAAGCTAATTTCTGCCAAAAGGAGGGAATGGGGATGTAGGAGAACAGAGACAGAAAGCAGAGTTCAAGCTATTAGCTCCCTTCCCCTTCACTGTGAATTTCTTAGATGTTCTAAGAAAAGGGAGAATTTCTAAGTGAAATTAGGAGAGCACTGTTTCATATAGTCATTTTTTTTTAAAGTCTGGCTAAGAACACAAGTTAATTCTGGAATTAAAAGAACCTTGTTAATTTGAGCTCTTAATTCATATTTCCTAGGTTACAAAATACTTAACTGATGTTTTCTTATTTAATTCTCACAACAGGCCTGTGAGGTAGGGGTTATTAACCTCTATTTCAAGTGAAGAAAGTAAGTTTTCCTGGGGGTAAGTGGCAGAGCCAAGACTCAGACACTAGTCTTCCAATTCTAGTCCAATGCCTTTGCTATCACATCACAAATACCTACTGTAATGATCTTAAAATATTGCTTGCCCTATTCAAAGACATTAATTTGGGTGATTTTAAATTGCTAATAGCAAAATATATAAAATATATAAAAGGATCAGAGGCTGGTGTGCGTATTACATATACTTTCCGATGTAAAAATTGTTTTGATAGAGGGTCAGGTAAATGAATTTTCTTAAATGAAGCCAGCGTATTTGCTGTCATGGTAAAGAAAGGATACACCCACTCCAGTCTGAGCTTCTCAGGGGGCAGCTCTGCTCTGATGTCATCGTAGTTGTCAACATCAGAAGGAATAAACATTGTAATTGGCCGGCCTCGCATAAACATTTTAATATAGTCTCCTTCTGTTGAAACACAAGAGAAAAATTAAGTCAGAGATGTCTTTTCCGAATAACCACAGAAAAGTGATTAATGTAATGTGATAAAAATAGCTACTTTAGAGTTCTAGTCTTATTATATATCATTGTTTTTGTGTATAAAAATCTAGACCAAAACAGTGTAAGAAAAAACTATTTTTTTTCTTATATGAGAGTAACTATTTTCATAATTAAAATATTTCTGTGCATAAGCTGACACATTTCAACAAGGCCAGGAAGGTTGAGGTAGAAAAATGCAAAGAAAATAATTTTGTCATGAAGTTTTCCTAACAGCTGAAAAGAAGAGATTATCAGGGTAGACAACAACCATGTCTATCACACCATTTGATCAACCTACTGATGATTTAATGACTTACAAAAAATATAGTCTCAGAACATTCCAGAAGGAGAGGAGTCAAATACCCTCATAAGTCAGGATGGGGAGAGAGACTCAGAGCTCTGCTATACAAGGCTGCGAGAAGAGCTGGGAGGGAAAAGATGACCAATGTCCCTCACTTTACAATTGGGCCTACAATCAGCCTTGGGTCTAAGCAATTAAATTCAATTATAATACAACTAGGGGCCCGGTGCACGAAATTCATGCACTGGGTGTGTGTGTGGGGGGTGTCCCTCAGCCCAGCCGGCCCCCTCTCACATACTGGGAGCCCTCAGGCGTTGACCCCCATCACCCTCCAATCGCAGGATCGGCCCCTTGCCCAGGCCTGACGCCTCTGACAGAGGTGTTAGGCCTGGGCAGGGGACCCCCAGACCCCTCCGATTGCTGGCTCTGCCCCTTGCCCAGGCCTGATGCCTCGGCCAGAGGCGGAGACCCCCATCACCCTCCGATCGCCTGATCGGCCCCTTGCCCAGGCCTGACACCTCCGCCAGAGGTGTCAGGCTTGAACAGGGGACCCCCATCTCCCCCCGATCACTGGCTTTGATCCCCGCCCAGGCCTGAGGCCTCTGGCCCAGGAATCATGCCTGGGCAGGGGACCCCCCTCTCCCTCTCATCACTTGCTCCACCCCCCACCCCAACCTCAC